AGGAAAAAAAAAAAAAAAAAAAAAAAAAAAAAAAAAAAAAAAGAATAGAGATTTGCTTCCAAGATGGCTCCCTTACATGGCTGTTGGCAAGAGGCCTCTATATAGCACCATGAGGACAGGACTTCTCTACATAGTGTCTTCATGAAATGGCACCTGGCTCCCCCAAGAGTGAGGGAATTCAGAAGAGGGGGCTGAAGCCACAGAGTTTTTTTATGATGTAGCCTCAGAAGTTATATATTCCTCATACCCACAATATCCTAATGGTTACATAGGTCAGGCCCATTCACTGTGGGAGGAGGCTGCACAAGGGCATGAATACCAGGAGACAGAGCTCATTGGGAGCCATCCTGGAAACTGACTACCACAGAAAATTATTATTGTTACTCTTAGTTCCATGTTTTTTTAAAGGAGAGAGAGAATGTGAAATAGTTTGACTTATGTTCATGAATATAGGAAAAGGAAATTTTAATTATCACAGATAATTCCATGTTGAACGTTAACAATTCCTTAACATTTTAGTAATTCTAGTTTATCCTTATTTAGATACTCTCTTTTGAAGATGATAGTACAATCCTATTATACTCTTTGAAGTAGTGGGGAGTCATTTCTGGTGATTCACACACATTTTCTTCCCTTCCTCCTGGAACTAACTAATAGCTCCAAAATGCAGAATGCTCTGGAAATGATGGTGGGTAATCAATTGAATTGCATGAGTTTCAGACTCCTGGGCCATGTTAGTTTTATGTGCTAGGGGAGCTAGTTTGCCAGATTCAAGACAAAATTAATATCCCTTAATGTTAATAAAAGGTTTTGTTGTTTTTAGAATACAGAATACAAGGGGGAATATTGGGCAGAACATCCTACAATAAAAATTTTTTGGGAAGTATTTCACGACTTGCCATTGGAAAAGAAAAAACAATTTCTTTGTAAGTATTTCTAACTAGTTCCATATTTTGTGATACTGGAATCATAGTATTTTTCCAAGGAAGGTCTTGATTTACCTCTAAAATAGCATTGGTTCTTGTTATTTTGTTTGTTGATTCTTGCTATTGCATATTTTGTAATATAATGAACTATAACTGTGGTTATAATAAACTAGGATTGTAGAATTCCTTTTAGAATTTCTAAAAAGATCTTTGGAGTATAGCTGTTTTCTGTGTTGTCTTTTTCTCTTTGCTTCAGCAACAAACTTTGGGAGTTTCTGTAGAAAATAGAACTTGTCTTTTCCAGGCCTTTAGTTCCCTCATTTATGTCTTTTATCTGTTAAAATATGTATTTTTCTTTTTTTTGGTGGCTGGCCAGTTTGAGGATTTGAACCTTTGACCTTAGTGTTACAAGGCTGCAGTCTAACCAACTGAGCTAACCATTCTGAAATTTGTCAGAATTTATGTATCTAAATCAGTGACATTCCCTTGATATCCCTGCTATTGCCAAGAATATTTTTGGCAATCTTTTATTGAGAATATTGGCTAAGTTCTTTCTATATCATAAGGATGACAAATCATTATTCTTTGAAAGTGATTTGAGTTCTGTCTGCATGGTATAAATTTTTGATAAAAAATAGAAAAAAAATCAAAATCAGAACTGCATTTTGTATGTTGTTTATTGACTAGTTCTAAATGGCTCTTCCGAAAAGAAGGGCTCTAAAAATGTTTTTGTCAATGGCAATAGTCATTTATTGGTCAAACATTTATTAAACAGCTTCTGTGTGCCAATGTTAAGATTACACTTTTAAAGAAAAAATATTGTGTAGCTAGGTAGTTTAGTATGTTTCAAAAATCTTGTCTTCCACAAATACTGTAAGTAGGTTTCCACTTTAGAGCACATAATAACATAAAGCTTTGCTGCAGTTAAGTGTACTAAATATTACTTGTTGCTTGATATTGTTTTTAAGTGGTTGGCTGAATGATTTTTTTTCTTGGTAGTATTTTTGACAGGTAGTGATCGCATTCCTATTCTTGGTATGAAGAGTCTGAAACTAGTCATCCAGTCAACAGGAGGTGGTGAGGAGTATCTCCCAGTTTCCCATACCTGTTTTAATCTTCTAGATCTTCCTAAATATTCAGAAAAAGAAATTCTACGCTCTAAACTGATCCAAGCTATTGATCACAACGAAGGCTTCAGTTTAATATGACTTTGGAGTTGTTATAACTATTGTTTAATGCAAAAGCATTAAACTGTGTGTTTTCTTGTGGTGAATTCAGCAAGATGACAGATACTATTATAATTCTTACTTGCAAAATGTCCTATGCTGTGAGTATTCATGAAAGCCAAAAAATATCGAACATGAAGAAACCATTAATATTAAACTTATTGTACAGAATAAGTACATGGATTTTCCCCCATCTCCCAATAAACATACAAGTATTGTGAATACATTAAAGTTTTACTAAAATGAATTTTAAGAGTTTGAATATTTCAGAAATGATCCAGTGTGTGAGTGCATGGAAATGTTGCTTAATTTTTCTTAAATCACTGGGGTGAAAAACCTTTAACTTTGGCCTGCAGTAGTCATTTGATTATTTTTTCATTTTGTAAATAATGTTGTTTTATAATAAAATAGTTATGTTCTGATACCAGTAGTTTCCATGGTTGTAATTGAACTGAGCTTTTCAGGGATAAAAATTTTGATTTAAATCTTACTCTGAGAATCTATAAAAAGCAAAAACAAATAGCATGATGGAAAGTCTTTTCTTTTTTGAATAAATGTCTTTGTGCAAACCTAAATTACAAACAGGAATTATACTAAATAACTTGTAGTTCTTTCCTCTTCTGTGAATCCTCACATGCTGATATATGGGAGGTTGTTTACCAGAAAGCATGTTAATATTTAGTAGAAAGATCTTTGTCTCTACAGTTGCCAGTAATAGAAACATTGGCTACTATGAGAAACAATCAGTGGGTTATAGCTTTCCAAACTTTTGATGCTGCAGGTTAGTATTTAGTTAATTTTCAGTGCTTTAGAACTATTTCCTTGAATTTTAAAAAACATAAATCATAATAGTATGGTGCTGATGCTTAGTTATTAAAATGTAAAAGTGAATTGATACATGTGATTTTCTGCTATAATGCAAATATTTATTTTTTAAATTTATAAAAAATGCCATGAAAACTTCGCTTAATATTTAAACTTCCAGTGGTTCTCATAAGAATGTTGCAGAGGTCTCTTTAAATTTTGGATTGCTTGTTCCAATTCTTATAAATTTTGTACCTATTTTTTAATGTTTTATAGATGTCCACAATCTCATCTGCAATTCCAAAATCCAAAAAAGCTCTGGAAAAAATATTTTCCTATGTCATATTGCAGCAAAACCTGATCTGAATTGTTGAGGCTATTTATAATAGCCACTAAATGAGACAGTGACCCCCTTCATGGGTAAACCATCATGTGCCATTGATTAGGATATTATAGTCAGTGAAATAACTAACCAAGGGGGCTGGGAATAGCATAAATACTGGACTTTAAGTTAGGTTTTGCCAAGTATATAGCTTTACTATTAAAATGACTATAGCTTTCCTTTTAAAGTACATACTTGACCTTTTCCAATTTGTATAATGTAGACACATATCTTAAACAGATAATTTTCCTAGTACTAACAACAAACAGTATACCAGGGTGTTTACTTTTATCCACTGCAAAAGAGTTTGCGGGGGAGAGAAGTAGGAGATGTGGCAGCCGGCCTTTATATTGCATACTTCTTGAATTCACTACACCTCCATTTGCTATTGTCCCTCAAATCCCAAAGTCCTGGTCCCTCTGTCATATGACTTTGTCAAGTCCTTTGTTGGCCCTGCCCTGCCTTTTCCCCACATTTTACCTGGGAAGGCCCCTGGCCTAGAATGGTTGAAATATTAGTTTTGAAACATTTGGTGATGCACCATCTTCTACAATCAGCACCATCAGTGTTTGCAAAGTACTGAATGAAATGTAGGGTGAGGAGAAAGCTAATACAGCCCTCAAAGCTATATAAATTCTGAAAGATTTAAAAATTTATACCTTAAACAATGTAAGCTAACAGAAAAAAGTCAAATGACAATTTTAATAGACTTTGTTAAAACAGTGTACAAGTATAAAACACTGGTTTTGTATTTCAAAAGTTGGAGGAAGATATCCAGTCATTAAACAGTCTACAAAACATATGCCAGTAGATTACATAAAAGACTATGTACAATATAAAAAGAGCTGAAAACAGTCTTCACTGTAAAAATAATTTAAAACAAATTTTTCAATTTAAAATATCTATAGCACAAACACATCATGCAAATGGAAAACTAAATATACTGCATTCTTTAAAAGCCAAATAAATTCAGATTGAGACATCTTTTAGGTAGGTAAATGGCCATTCAATACAATTTTTTTCCTCTGGCAGTAATGATCCTAGCTGGGTATTTTATTTATAAAGAACAGCTGTGGTTCAAACCCTTTTTATTGTAATAAATACTAAAGCAACAAAGGAATACTTTATAATTTGGAGTAATGTTCGAAAAAGGTCTGGAAAATAAATGCTTACTGTGCAATTTTATAAAGAATGAACTTTTTTGAAAGGCTATAAGCTTCTGCAGCTGAGAAAGTTGATCTCTAGTTTTAAGGCAGGCTAAGCTTTAAATAAAGATATGTTACAAGAACTAGTTTCATTCATTTACATCATGTTCATCTCCATAATACTAGGCTAGCAGTTTGGTATTTATTACACCAAATCCGCCCAACAGGAGACATGTACTTTCTGGCTGAATTATATTATTAACATCTTATTACTTTGGAATTGTAATCAGGGTCCTGTTGCTCTCCTCAATGGGAAAACAGCAGTCCAAAATATTACACTCTCCCCAGTAGAAGTACCATTATTACAGATTCAGAAGCTTTGCATATTCACATCTTGGCAGTTTAATACTTGTGAAAAAGGATCAATACAAGCTCTACCACAGTGATAGGTATTTAAACAACAATGGCAAAGATTTCAAAACTAAGGGGATCCAGGCAGGCACCATTATCTCTAAAGCGACTGAAACATTTCCAAAGCATTTATTTGTTTTTCAGGTTAGTTTTATGAGCCAATATAGACATTAATTACTACATGTCTGCAGGAAGTACAAAAGCCATCTTAATTTGAACAATAAATATTCTTGGAACTCTTAGCACCAAGTCTTACTTAGAAAGTAGACAACTGAGTGCTCTCCCACATATTGCTGACTTCCTTCTATTCACATTGCATGTCATTTGAGATTTTTAAAAAGTTAGCTGCCACAAGTTTTGGAAAATGCCAGTGTTTAAAAATAGGTAATTGTGCTAAAGAATCAAAAGTTTAGCAGAACAAAGATTTTGAGGACTTCAAATCATTCAATGTTACAAAGAAAAGTGTGAAAATACCATTCTTTGGTCTAGATAAGCTGTTCCCTTTACATTAATTTAACATTCCAATGGCTTTTTGAAAACTTCAAAATGTTGAAACTTACTAGGCAAAAACAAGAAATAATATATACATATAGATGTATCATACAAATGAACCTTTAAAGAAAGTGAGTCTTAACCATCAGCTGATTAAAGATACTTAGTACCTTTCTTTAAAAAAAAAAAAAATTTAGTGTTGAGTTTACAAGTACAGAAATAATGAAGTTAAAAATTATCCATGAGAACAATCTATTTTACCAGTCTATAAATATTACACCTTCTGGTTTCCTTGCTCTATTGAGTTCACAAGTAAACATTCTTCTTGACATGCTAAAGTTCCTAATGCTGGTGGAACAATTTCCATACCTAGACAATTATTACATTATGATTTGTTTGATGGATACTTCATGTCTATTACTTCCTGTTTCATGGATATAGCTTCATTAACTGCTTCTTGATCACCTCCATCAGCTCCAAGTCCAGTTCCTCCAGCTCTCTCTAGAACATCTGCATCATCTTCCAAGCCATTGTAGAATTCTTCAATCTCACTTTCATCCTCCATAGGTTCTTCTAAACTTGGACTCTGGCATGTTCCACTATCACTATTACTGCCACAAGAACTAGAGGATAAGACGTCATCTTCAGAGTCTGAATATACCTCAGCGCCATGAAAAATGTAACGATTTGGTGGTAAAAACAGGTACTGATTACCTGAAATATAGTAATAAAAAAGAGAAATACTAGTTATTATCAGTTTTCTAAGACTAACTTGGTCTCACTGAGCAGTATGGAATTAAGTGTAGGTTCCAGCTGTGCCTTTTGTAAGTATCATTACTAGAGGCTACTACTATTAGTGTTTTTTAAAAACAAGGTGTAGGGCTGGCCCAGTGGTGCACTGGAGAGTGTGCCGCTTGGGAGCGGAGCAGCGCTCCCGCTGAGGGTTCGGATCCCATGTGGAGACTGGTTCCCGCTCACTGGCTGAGCGTGGTGCGGGCGCAACACCAAGGGTTGCGATCCCGTTGCCGTTCCCCGGTGTGGGCGCGACACCGAGGGTTGCGATCCCGTTACTGGTCAGTAAAAAAAAGACAAAAAGGAAAAAAAAAACAAGGTGTAGACAACTTAGTTCTGAGTTCAAATCTTAGTTTTCTCACTTACTAGCTTTGTAAATTTGTAGCGGTATCTCTCTGTGCCTCAATTTCCTCATTTGGAAAATGAAATAATTTTCACAATAACCCTAAGAGTTAAGTATGAAAAAAGGTAGAGAACATATTCAGTAAAGGTTACTTAAATAATTCCTTTGAAGAGATTTGTTGAAAATGAAATGACATATCCAGTGCAACCTATGATAGGATACCCAATTCATGTATGTTAAGGTAAATATTGCCATTTTTTTCTGCCTATTATAAATCTAAAATATTTTAAATATTTTGTCATTAATATCTTCACCACTTATTCAAAGTGTAGTCTGTGGACACTGGGAATTCTCAGGCCCTACCACCCACCACCTGAATCAGAATCTGTATTTTTTACAAAAGTCCTATACACATTAAAGTTTGAGAAGCACTGATCTAGCATTAGCATTGGACTATATCTTCTCCCAAATTGATATTCATAGTATATGAGGGTACTTCAAAAAATTCATGGCAAGATTTGTATTATTTTTTAATTGTATGAACTTTTTCCATGAACTTTTTGAAGTACAATCAAATAAGACTTATTTAACCTATGATGACAAGTAAAGTCCCCTCTGTTCCTCCCCTTAAACCATAAACCCCCAGGTCAAGAACTCCTCTCCTCTAAGATGTTCTAGTCTTAGAGCACCAATTTGAATCCCTGAATACTAATAGAGTTCTTAAAAGTCTACAGCACACTGAATCAATCCCAGGTCAAAAAAATTGTACATGAAAGGTGGGATTCCCTAAAACTTGATAATGAAAAGTTTTCTACCCTTGAATTCACAAGAACAAGTAGCTCCTACCTTAAGTCTATTTTCATGCACACTAAAGTTTATATTTACTGCACCATATCCAAAACTGAGTTAAAAAGCCTGGTTACCACATTTGTAGATGGCATGTCATTCCAGATACTTAGCATACCTAAGTTTCTCTTCAAAATGGCTCTTACACTTTTTGTTTTTTGGTTATGTTTTTTTTTGGGTGGCTAGCCAATACAGAGATTGAACACCAGACCTTGGTGTTACCAGCACTATGCTCTAACCAACAGAGCTATCCACCCAGCCACTATACTTTTTATTTTTGGCAGCTTGCTGGTGTGTGAGGATCCGAACTCTTGACCTTGGTTTAGAATACCCCACTCTAACCAACTGAGCTGACTGGCCAGTCCCACACCTCAAAACTTTTTTATACTGCATCATGACCCAGTCCTCAACCTGAAACAAAGTATATTATGTGTGACAATTCTGACCTAAACTCACAAAAACTGATGTCATAGTCCACTACAAATTACAGTGTAAAAACCACTCATTTTCTTCTGTTACACAAGAATGCGTACTGGTTTTTTAAGACAGCAGTATTTACATAGTTGGAGCAAGGAGTCAAATACAGTTGACCCTTGAACAACACAGGGGTTAGAAGCACCAAACCCTGTGCACAATCAAAAATCCATGTAGAACTTTTGACTCCCCAAAACTTTACTAATAGTCTACTGTTGACCAGGAGCCTTATTGGTAATAAACAACACATATTTTGTATATGTATTATATCCTGTACTCTTATAATATATTGTAAGCTGGAGAAAATATTAAGAAAATCATAAAGAAAAAATACATTTTACAGTACTGTACATATATTTATTTAAAAACCATGTGTAAGTGGACTCGCAAAGTTTAAACCTGTGTTCAACAGTCAACTGAACTTGCACTCCAGTGGCTAACAGAAAACCCCACCCGGCGCTTTTAACTGAGACATCTTTGAATCACTCCCACTCAAGTCCTTTAAGGAATACCCAGCACATGGCTGTCCTGCACTTTTCTTTCTATTGTTTTGACCCACACATCTAAAAAAATGTCTTTTTCTGTCCTAGGCCCCTGAAGTATTAAATAATCTATTTCTCAGCCCAAGGACCCAATATCTGTATGTTTTTGTGTTTCTACTTGACAGCCATCAAAGAAAGATTAAAAGTTTACCTCATCTATGCTTTCACTTCCTCCTTTTAACCTTGACCTCACAGACAGAAGTAGAAATAGATGATGACTATGGCTAACTAAAATGAGTGAAGTCTAACAGTCATTTGTTTTTAACAGCTACAACTTACACTCTTTACATCTTTTTAAATTTTTACAATTCTATAAAGTATGTGCTAATTTATTCCCATTTTAGGAATAAATTAGCACATACCTTATAGATTAGGAAACTGAGAAATTAAATAACTTTGCTCAAGATGCAGCTGAGACAACAGAGGTCTAATTCCAAAGCGTGTACCTGTAAGGCCTTCTACACTGTACAGTAAAACCAAGTGTAATATAAGAGATGATTCCAAGTTTACTGTTACCTGGGGCAAGGAGTTTTATATGTTTGACACCATCTGTCAAAAAGATGTTTAAGGAAACTTCGCACTCCAAAAGTCTTCCAATGTACAGGTAGATTTATATATTACTAAATCAGTAGCAATTTTTCTACTTCTAACTTCTGCCACATTTGCAAATATAAGTATTCTTGTATGCTTTTTTAGTTTCCCCTGGACAGACTTCCTCTACTTTTAACTCCCTACTTATTAAGAAGTTAGATGCTTTAGAAAGCCTTCTCTAACCTAATCTTTGAGTATTATCTACCTTTGGGTCATGTTTTTGTTCAAAACAATAAAGTGCTTTATTCTCCTTTGGCAGCGCCTGTGCTAAAATATGAATATTTATCACCTATTTTTATAATTATATACAAACATTAGTAGATTAACTTACCACAGTGCCTAGTATGGAAAAGGCCCAAAGGCTTATATTCAACAACTAAAATTTATTTACACCAAATGATTGGAACACTTCATTGTTTCATCTAAAATATGTCAGTTTCCAGCACGTATGGTAAATAGAATGAGACAATGTTCTAAGTTGTGCAAGACTGTTGCATCTAAGTTAAAGAGTACATATATATTTTTATACTGCTTAAATTAGGATTTTTTTCTTTTCCTTTTTGTCTTTTTTACTGACCGGTAACGGGATCGCAACCCTCAGTGTCGTGCCCATACTGGGGACCGGCAACGGGATCGCAACCCTCGGTGTTGCGCCCGCACCGCTGAGCGGGAACCAGTCTCCACATGGGATCCAAACCCTCGGTGGGAGCGCCACTGCGCTCCCAAGCGGCGCACTCTCCAGTGCACCACCGGGCCGGCCCTAAATTAGGATTTTTCACATATGTGCTACTACTTGGACTTATAAACATCAATTTCCAGAAAGCAGTTTCACCTATGTTAATACTAACTGTTAAAGACTTTGCACGTGTCAAAACAGGGTCTACATGGTATTCCAGAAATTCAGTGAGAAGAATCAGATGTTTTCTAGATCAGAGACAACACAACATAGTGGTTAAGGGGGCAAGCTCTGTGGATACCACCTGGAATCTAATCCAGCTCTTCAACTTCCTAGTTGTTACTTTGCATGAGGTACTTTACCTCTACGGTCCTCAGTTTTTCCACCTGTAGCAGAGAAGTAATAACAGTTTCTACTTTATAAGATTAAGATCAGATAATATATATGATAGAGTTTGGGTACGCTGTCCCCTTCAAAGCTCACGTTGAAATCTGATCCCCAACTTGGCAATGTTGGGAGCAGTTTGGATGATGGGGGTGGATGTCATGAATAGATTAATGCCCTCCCTGGGGGTGGGGGTAGTGAGTGAGTTCTTGCTCTATTAGTTCCCACAAGAGCTGGTTGTTTAAAGAAGACTGGCACCTCCCCTTCCCTTCCTCCCTCCCACCTTGTGATCTTGTGCCATGAGTAGAAGCAGCCTGAGGCCCACGCCAGATGCAGCTGTCCCAGAATCATAAGCCTATACGAAGTTATCGGATCTTGTGCCATGAGTAGAAGCAGCCTGAGGCCCACGCCAGATGCAGCTGTCCCAGAATCATAAGCCAAATAAACCTCTGTTCTTTATAAATTACCCAGTTTTAGCTATTCTGTTATAAGCAACAGAAACAAATATAGTATATACAGCAGCTGACCCACAATAAGCACTCAAATTTCAGTCAAATCTCAGCTAGAGCTCTCACGAGATAATGGGAGAGGATGCAATACCAACCCATTCGTGACTTAGTATCTATGTTCCCGACTCCTAGAGAAACAACACCATATAGAACACCGTTAAAATTAAACACTCTTTCTTCCCCACATTATGTAAGATACCACCAGACTTTACCTTTCCCTAACTTATGAACTTTATAGTTTCTCTAAACACAAATCGACTGTTCCACCCAGCTACATAAAGCTGCCCTATCAACTAACCTGCCAAAATTGTTAATTTCTTGCAAATATTTTGTTACAATGATTATACTTTAAAAAGCCTTTCTTACCATCAAGCCGCTTACTAATCTGCTCCTTGGCAACTCTATTGGGCCACAACTTTCTCACAGTTTCAGCAACCGAAGTTCTTTCACTGTTCTCTCCAGTATTGGAACTGACATTCTTCAAATCCGGATGTTCCAACTGTTCGGTAATACTTTCAGCGTTTGTAGTAGAAGTCTGTACTTCCTGTGATTTTTCTTCCATACAACTTTCTGATTCAGACACATCTAAATCATCAACATTACTCTTAGGTGCTTGGTCTGAAAGTGTGACAATCACTTTAGAATCTGGTGGTGAAATTCTTTCTGGTGAACTTGAGTCTTCTGAAATTTGAAGAGGTGTGGGTGGCAACTGTGACAAATGAGACAATTCTCTTTGTGTTCGTGGAGGTTTTTCAGTTATTTCTGAAAGCTTTACAGGGTTACAGCAAAGTTTGGCATATTCACCACCTAACCTATGACACAATTCATTAATTATGACATCACAGTCTCCAAGCAGCTCCACATCAAAATGCAGATGAGGCAAAGGTTCCCTATTAATTAATATCTGAGGCACTTCATGGGGTATGGAACCTAAAAATAGGGTGAAAAATAAAAATTAGAAAAAGGGAGAGGAAATTAAACCACAACAAATGCACCATGCAAAAACCTAGCAAGGACCTGGGCTCCAAATACTAAAAAGACAAAAAAAAAAAAAAAAAAAAAAAAAAAAAAAAAAAAAAAAAAAAAAAAAAAAAAAAAAAAAAGAAAAGAAACCCTCCACTTATACTTAACCAAGCCATTACATTTCATCAAGCTGTATTGCAGATGAGCAGTTCAACAAGCATATTCTAGAAAATTTCCGGTTCTGCTCCTGTTACCTGCTTACCGCTTAACAATCTTCTCAGACTTTGCCATTCTGTACCTCAATTTCCTTGTCTGTAGAATGGGTATAATAAGTTCTTTTCCACAAGGTTGTGGTGAAGATATTTAAATGAGTTAATATGTCACGTGCATAGAAGAGTTCTTGGCACATTAAGTATTAAAGTCATACAAATCTGTTCTACACTATTATAAACCTATGTTTACATTTAAAAAAATTATCTTTGCCTATCAGCATCACACTATTATACTACCCAAAAGAAAGCTTTTAAGGCAGAGAAAGCCTTTGAATTTGCTTTTTTATTTTTTTTTATTTTTATTTTTTTTTCCTTTTTGTCTTTTTTCGTGACCGGTAACGGGATCGCAACCCTCAGTGTTGCGCCCGCACCACGCTCAACCAGTGAGCAGACTGGTCTCTATATGGGATCCGAACCCTCAGCGGGAGCGCCGCTGCGCTCCCAAGCGCCGCACTCTACCAAGTGCCGCACTCTACCAAGTGCGCCACCAGGCCGGCCCTAAATTTGCTTTTTTAAACGAGGGCTTGCATATTAAATTTCCATGTTTCATTTCATTACAAATTGTCCTATATTCTACTTTAAAAGAATCTCACAGCTATTTAGGGAAGACTGAGAGTTAACTGCTAAAACCACCAGACATGAACTGCAGAGCTTGACTCCACATTCCTTCCAGCTATTTCCTCTGGCTACCTAATTGATTGACTACTGAGGTAAGGGTTTAATTCTCTGGTTAAAGGTTTGCACTATTGTCTCCTCTCCTCCTTCCTTCACTTATGAAAGGACATATCTGATGCAACTGAAATCTCTCTCTTACCCTCTTTCTCCCTGGCTTCCTCACTACAGGGTGAAAAAAGGTAGTATGAATACATGTACTAACAAAATTTTCCCAAAAATAGACTTAAATCATACATGAGCATTTTCATACACACAAACATCCTGGTTGGCAAGCTAGATCCATCTACCACCATTCTGACATGCCATGATTGTTATTATAAGAACTAATCATTTTGAGCCCCCAAATTCATCTTACATAAGTATATTACACTTCTATCAAGCTACACACCTGAACTTACTGTATATGAAATCAATTAAATTTGAAAGATCAATTGTAATCTTATCAAGACTGAAAATACATGAACTAATAAGGACTGTTTCATATCTGTATGTAAATAAACTGAAGCTAACCCCTGCCACATTCAAAACACATTCCATTAAAAAGTATAAATTGAACTGTTTCCCTTTAACTTTTCATATAAATTAGGATTAAAATTTGACATTACTTCTGTTTTGATAGACCGTCCACCCCCACCAAAATGTCAGATTCTTCTATCTTCATGAATAAGAATGCCATCTAAAAATAAAGTTTAGCTCTTCACCACTTTTAAACAGAAACAGAATAGGATCATTAGGATCTATTATACAGATCCACACCCATGGTGTTATACATAGAAATGTCCAGAAACCACCACTAACTTACTTGGAATGAGCGCGACTGGTCTTACTTTCAGGGAAGACCCAATAACAATGAGAAGATCAACTTCATCTTTATCATACTTCATGGCTCTATGAAACTGTTCTGGTAAATTTTCACCAAAAAAGACAATCTCTGGTTTCATGATAGCAAGTGGTTCGTCAGCTGGGCACCTAGGACATCGAGGAACTACCTGCATGTTCCAGATTTTGGTTGAGGTGGGAAAAGTGATGGGAAAGCTGAAGTTAGAAGTGGTCAATATTTCCACACTTCCTCAGAATACACTTCCGAATCAGCAAAGAAAACAGAAAAGCTGTGGCTAAACAGCAGGGAAAACTGGATACAACCTAAATATCAATTGCCAATGACAAGGTAGTTTATTAACATACAATGAAACATATACAGTGAAATACTATGCTGCTATTATAATACCTATGTAGAAGTATATTTGACATCCAATAGTCCAACGTATATTCTAAGAGGGAAAAAAATAATTATGTATACACATATATTGGGACTTAATCCTTTTTGAAAAACTATATATGCAGCTAATCACATAGGACATATTTCTGGATGATTTTTATTTTCTGCTACATTTTTTGGCAGCATGCATGAAATACTTTCAAATGTTTTAAACAATTAATACAACTAATTTAAGATTCTAAATCTGACAGGTACTAAAAGGGAGGGAAGGGAGACAAACTAATGTAGCAACACCTCCCTTATGATCTGGCTTTATTTTAGGCTTAGATATGAAGGAGCCAATTTCGTCATTTGAAGAGACATGGACCAATGTCTTCTACTTAAGGTATTGAAAGGTTCTTTGTATTTCATCAGATTTCCCAATGCTAACACACTTCCTTCTTGGATCTTTTTGTATCACATAAATAATTTTAAGGGGGAAAAAAAGGATGTAGGGGCAAAAGAAGAAACAAATCAGAGAGCGCACGATTCCTAAAATATGGATGATAAATTACCTGATTAAAAATATCTCCTCGTACAGCTTCACAGTCAACTTTGTATTTACAAATCAGGCAAGATGCTGTTGCAAAGGAACCTAAAAACAACCAACATATATACATTTATTAAAGGACTATTTCCACTGACCAGTTAGCTCAGATGGTTATAGCATGGTTCTGATAACACCAAATTTTCACCAAAATGATCCCTGTACTGACCAGCTGCCAAAAAATTATTTTTTTTAAAAAAGGGAATATGGGCCGGCCCGGTGGCGCACTGCTACAGTGCGCCGCTTGGGAGCGCGGCGGCGCTCCAGCCGAGGGTTCGGATCCCACATACAGACCGGTTCCCGCTCACTGGCTGAGCAAGGTGCGGGCGCAGCACCGAGGGTTGCGATCCCGTTGCCAGTCCGGTCCGGGCGCGACACTGAGGGTTGCGATCCGTTGCCGGACACGAAAAAAGACAAAAAGGAAAAAATAAATAAATAAATAAATAAATAAAAAAGGGAATATTTCCATTTCTTGTACATACCACAAAGATTATAAAATTTGACACTGGAAAAGTTAAAGACTTTTAAGATTTAAATAGACTGCACAGGAGAATCGGGATGAATAATTAAAATATATATACAAATATATATAAAAATAATAGTAGAAACGAATCCTCAATTGCTGAGATGTTGAGAGAATGATGCCTTCTAAAGCTACTCTTTTCAATAAAATAAACTAATTCCTGCAGTGCTAAAAGTCTGTGGAGTTGGAAGAATCCAATCTATTACATGGGCTCAACAGTTGTGTTTTCAAAACACTTTACAGATACTTAAGAAAATGGCCTGTTCATACTTATTTAGATTGAATGTCTTCTAAATTTCTGAATCCTGTACGTCTTAACTACTCAGATCCTTTGGTTTCATAAACTAAAGATGGAGAAGATGGCATATTTCTTCACACACAGCCAATACTACTTTTGTAACCACAAAATTATTTAAAATAATTGAATAGCAAGCAACTGCAATGTCTTTTGAAATCCAGACATACAACGATATCTGATTTTTTGTGGAATTAAGTGTAAAGGCCAACACTTCTGATTTCATTATTTCTGCATTCTACTCTTCTTGTTATCTGCAATTAATCAGATAATATGATTAAAGAATAATGCTTAATCTCCATTCCTGGATGGTAGCCTGCTTTCTAATACTGATCTTTCCTATAAAGCTAATAAATTACAGAGAGCCATTCTGAAGTTTACTAACCATGACACTGAATTATCCTTTGGATTCCCGCAACCTGTTCCAACGTATCTATATTCTGAGTATAGTTGCGAAGTAGTTTTCCTTCCTTATCTGACAAGGCTATGAATTTGTGACAAAGAGATGGTTGGAATTGTCCAGGATATATTTCCTATATGCAAAAGGTAGAGAAAAGCTTACATTAATGAAGTAAGTATAACAGATGTCACAGGTTTCACATAAAACTACCAATAATTCCCCATGTATAAATTTTAAAATAATGAGCATTTTAAAGCAGGTAGATGGGTGCAACACACACCTAAAAAAAGGATTGTTGCTGTAATATGTACAAAACTCAGCAATTGGTGAACTTGGCCCCCTTGATGCAAAGGTAACATCGACCCATAAACATCTCTAATAAATGTTAATAGATATTTTAATAAAAGTCAGAAGTAATACACACCTTAGAGTATCTAATTTTTGTTGGCTGCAAATTCAGGTTTTCTTTAAGGAAAAAGGGGAAAAGTTTAAACTGAAATTACAGATAAAGGTATGGTGACTTGTCTTTATTAAACTAAAAAAAGGAACCGTCAATGTAAGATATTAAAAAAATATTTCCTTGATTCATCATTCATTATAAATAATCACCCTGGAAGTTTAAAGCTAAAGTTTTAATTCCTTACCAAAATTGTTTTCCTTCCATTGCACAGGCACATACTGGTATAGTAATAGAGTTGCTCATGAATGCTGAGTTGCTGGATATTGTGTGTGTGTTTTTCCCCCCAAATAATGCTTCAATGCTGTTTCTTCTTTAAAAACAAAGAATTCAGATATACACATGGCAAAAAGATCAGAGAGAGAGTATCAATTTTGGTCCTCCCAACTTTTGACAGTGTTTTTTTTATTAAATTTCATTTAGTAAGTGACTATGGCAAAGGAAGTTTCTTCTCTACTTTTTTCTAGTAGAAGTAGTAATGCTATCCTCTACTTACTTCCTTACCATTCATTACAGGTTCTAACCTATCATAATCAAAAACTAGACACAACCATATATCCATCAATAGGGAACTGGTTGTATAATTATGGTACATCCATAATAGCTGAGTATGCAGCCGTTAAAAAGAATGAGGGAGATCTAGATGCACCGACCTGGAAAATGGTCCATGACGCACATGAAAAAAGCAAGTTAGTCACCAATGTGTGTAGTTTTTGTTTTTGTTATTAAGCAAAAATGGAAATTATATGCACATGTATATAGACGGCCATATAAACAATCAAATCAGGAAGGATACAAACAAGCTGTAAACAGAGGCAGGGGTACTTTTTCACTTCTGACACTATACAAAAAGGTTTAATGATGAAATTAAAGATGACTTTACTTTTTACCTATTTAATATTTCAAATTTACTTTTAAAATGTTATCTACCACACAAGCAGGATACCTTCTAGGTAAAACTTAATAATAAGCTAATCCCATGATAACTACCACGTACATGTCCATATGCTGCTAAAAATTATTATGCAAAAACCCCAAAATTTTGCCTTACATTCAAATGTTTATCATAAATAAACTTCATGAAAACCCCTTGCAATTTAAGAAACAATAATGTAGGAAGAAGTAGCAAGTAAACAGCTTATTAAAGTCAATGTTTATAGAAAATCAAAAGCCACATTATGATTTAGAATATTAAGTTATGGTATGTAAACCACTGTTTTCTCCCCAGGGTGCTTCGTTCTAGTACAGCTGACCCTTGAACAACACAGGTTTGAAGTGTAGATAGGTCCACTTACAACTGGATGTTTCAATAAATATATTGGATAAGTTTTGTTTAGGTGTGTCATGAATGCAGGTTACTTTACTACTTAAGCAACGATGTGCAGCACTCCCTCACTCTCCTCCCCTGCTAGGGTCACACAACCCGGGGGAAAGCAAGGGAGTCAAAAGTTATGGAGAGATTTTTGCCATGGTGCAGGCAGGGGAGTTGACAGTGCACCAACCTCTGCACTGTTCAAGGGTCAACTGTATATAATACATATAACATACAAAATATGTGTTGACCAACTGTTATCTGTAAGACTTCTGGTTAACAGTTAGCTATTAGTAAAGTTTTGGGGGAGTCAGAAGTTATTCTCAGATTTTCAACAATGTGGAGATCTGCGTCCCTAATCCTCACATTGTACATTCATGAGATTACACATCCTGGTAAAGCCCCTTCTGAAAAATAGCTTTTAGAGTATTTTAATCAATATTTGAATAGCCTAGGCAACAGATAAAATAGGATTTAAAGTAGGAAAAGTGATAACAGCATGCCAAACAGAAGAAGAAATGACTAATCCCAAGGGATGGTCAAAGAGCAAGATTATCAAAACTCCACCCTCCTTGAATTAACTGTGTGCAATGTTCCCTCCCCCCTTTTTTAAAGGGACGGTAAGAAACACAAAGATGTGCGGGACACTAGGCTTAGCTCTACACTCCAGTTTCCTTTCATGTTCAGTCTGTAACAATTCAAGGTAGTTTACCCTTTAAAGTTACAAATCAGTTCCTATACTTGGAGATATCTTATGGACGTTCTTGTTTTCTTTTATAAGCCTACATTTTCTGTGTGAGAACCAAAATGACTTGAGCCTTATCTTTGTCTATTTCCTTTTAAATACAAAGTAGACCATGTCTAAATTATTAGATTTAAATATAATGCTCAAACTAAGGGATAAAACCTAAAATAGAAAAAAAAAGTTACTCTACAAGGACTGCTTTAATAGGAACCACTCCTAAAACAGGCTCTTAACATGAAGCCTGCTAACAGCCAGATCACTGGGGATCTGTGACATGCTATCCCTGTTCTAAGCAAGACAGGCCATCCCAGATCTGAACACCCTAAAGCCCTTTTGCAGAACCAATCTTGAGGGCTAGGCCGTTCTGTTATTGTCATATGGATCCTTATAGATTGAGTAAAAGCAAAGCTGGGACCAAAGGCCCAAAACACTACAAAAATAAACTCTGCTTCCACGCAGCTGTGTCTGGAAACATTCAAATAATCCAGGAATTGGCCACAGGCAACCAGTGTGGTCAACACAAAAGCTTAAAGCTTAGGACTACCTGATACAGCGTGTTTTCATGCAGAAAATGGCTTTTCTTAAGACACACTATCTGCTTTCTTCCCCAAATTTCTAGCAATATGCCTAGAAGAACCCCAGTCAAAGGCAGGGGTTTAACTGCAGCCCCTCAACACTAGAAAGGTTCAAAATTTTAGAGATGTCAATATATGCTAATACCTGCTCCTACGGGAAGTAGAGTTGGTAAGAAACCAAAACCTAAATTCTCCATGCTACCAAAAAGAGAAATAAAAACATCAATCCGGGTAAGGAGAATCCCTATCTTGTTTCATTCATTCCATAAAACCACACTTGAATAGACTACTCAGTATCTTGATTAAAATACTTACTACTATAAAATCAAGTTAGTCACCTGACAAAGATATTCAACTTTTTTTTTTTTTTAATGGGAACGCATGGGTCAGCACACTTTTTCCATACTAGGACAGCATTTAGCAAATATTTTGGACTTTGCAGGCCATCCAATCTCAGGCCATATGGTCTCTGTCACAACTACTTGGCTCTGCCACTGTAGTGCAAAAGCAGCCACATACAATATATGAATAAATGAGCATGCCTGTGTTCCAATAAAACTATATTTATGGAGATTGACACTAGAATTGCATATAATGTTCATGGGCCACAAAATATTATTCCTTTGAATTTTTTCCAGCCATTTAAAAATTAATTCTTAGCTGGTGGGAGGGGGGAGGAGGGTGGAACCAGAGAGACGTTGGTCAAAGAACACAAAATCTCAGATAGGAGAAGTTCAGGACATCTATTGTACAAGATCATGAATAGAGTTAATAACACAGCATACACTTAATAACGGCTGAGAGTAGATCTTAAGTGTTCTCACCACAAAAAAATGGTACGTGAAGTAATGAATTTGTTCATAAGCTTGATACAGCCATTCCATATCATATACATATATCAAAACATGTTGTACACCATAAAAACACACAATTTTTATTTGCCAATTTTTATTTATTTATTTATTTATTTTTGCAGCCGGCTGGTACAGGATCCAAACCCTTGATCTTAGTATTATAATACTGTGCTCTAAACAACTGAGCTAACCAGCCAGCCCTATCGATTCTAATTAATTAATTAATTAATTCTTAGCACTCAGGCTGTACAAAAAATAGGCAGTGGGCCATGTTTAGACTGAGGCCACAGTATGCCAATCCCCACATGAATCTAACATAAAAGAATTCTAAGTAGTTAAGCTATTAGTTACCACTTGAAGAACTTTTAGTATGTACCAGGCATAACATGAGCACTTTTATTTCACCTTTATTATAATGCTGTAGATAAGGCTGAGGGCTGGGTTTTTACATATTTAAATGGTTGTAAAGAAAAACAAAGAACATGTGACAGAGACCCCATGTGGTCCACAAAGCAGGCCACATATTTACTACTTGGTCCTTTCCTGAAAATTTTACTGACCCTGCCGTAGACATCTTATACACACATTTTGCAGATGGAAAAAACCAAAGCACAGAAATAAGTTGCCATTTTGGTCATAAGAGCCAGTAAACAGCATAGCTATCACTCAAACCCAGTTTTAATACTTAAATCCAGCTCTTAATCACTGAGCAATACTCACTACCTTTTCAATTTTTCATCTTTCAACCTCAAGTTTCCTATTTTGCTTTTAGGCTAAGCACCATTTCTATTACATACTGCAAACTAGTCTAACTGACTAAGACTAGCCTATACAAGTCTAGTAAATACACCTCATTTTGCTCACTTTCATGGGATTACTAGAGGCTGGAATTCCAGTAAACCTAATATAAAAACACGACACTCTTCAAGAATATATAATATTACATGGGCTGGCTGTTAAGCTCACTTGAGACAGCATGGTGCTGATAACACCAAGGTCAAGGGCTCAGACCCCGAACTAGCCAGGCACAAAAAACAAAAACAAAAACAAAACATATTTCCCATAAACCAATATGAAAATGAAAAGCACCCAAATAGGGGAAAAATGGGGCCGGCCTGGTGGCGCACTGGATAAGTGCGCCGCTTGGGAAGCGCGGTGGCACTCCCGCCCGTGGGTTCGGATCCCACATACAGACCGGTTCCCGCTCACTGGCTGAGCGAGGCGCGGGGGCAACACTGAGGGTTGCGATCCCGTTGCCGGTCCCCGGTCTGGTACGGGGGCAACACTGAGGGTTGCGATC